CCAAACTAATAATAATAATAATAATAATAATAATAATAATAATAATTCATATATGAAGTCACATTGACTCATAAACTGTTGCTGCTGATTAAATATTTAATCTTCATGTGTAATTTTACTGCATTATCTCAGAACTATTGACGGTATTACTTCTCATTTTTATGTTCTACTGTTATTTTAGCTCATTGTTATTTTTAGTAACGTGTTGTCCTCACATCTTATTGTTTTTCTATTTATTCTCGTGTCATTTTTTTTTTATTTTTGAGCAATTTTGGCTCAAGAATTTCTTGTTTACTTTTGTTATTTCTGCTGGAAAACATGCTTCAGAGCTTCAGTCGTTCAATCCTCATGATTGATTATCGATCATTGTTGTTTCTGATCACAATAAATGTAATTACTGGAGTGTCTTTAGATGATTAATTAACCAGACGACACTGAAGGCTCTGTCTTCATGCTCTAGTGGAGACTTTGAGGTCTTGCTCATTAATAAGGTTTTTTTTTTTCAGATTAGTGGAAAACAACAACAATAACAATAATAATAATAATAAATGTTTTTATGTTACTACACTTTGTCTGTTGAGCATTTATGCAAACGACTGATTTTTTAAACTAAATAACACCACATTTGCATAAACAAACAGGACGTTTCAGGAGGTTTTGTGACGATTCCAACTGGAAATGCATATAACTTATAAAAACACATGTAAGTTTTATTTGTTTGAGTCGTTCCAGAGCCAGAAATCTTCACTTCAGCGTCGCCAAACGCTCCAGTTTCATTTAATTCTGTACTTTATTTTACACAACGGCCTGTTCGTGTGTCGTTTACAACCTGATTTATGGAACATTTTATCGATTAAAACGGCTTCTTTTTCTGACTAATGAGAGCAGAAACCTGCCTCCAGACGTCTGCTGTGATAATAAACACAACAACAGACGTCAAACGTGCATGTAAATCAGTTTATTGCAAGAAGACCACCGGAACAAGGCCGACTTCCGCCCAGAGGTCCTCATCAACAAGAATGAGGATTTACAGACAATTCAACAGACATGAGCATTAAAACGACAACAATAATCTGAAAACTAACCGTCCTACATTCTAAATACTGTAAATATATAACTGCTCGTCGGAGGGCCAGAGTAGCGTTTTGCCCTCCTGATATGTACAGCAAAAAAAAAACAATAGATAAAATCAAGACAGTGCCTTTTTGATCCCGGAAATGCATTAAAATTACACACAAAATAATCAGAGTTATGAAAGAGGCATGCAGACCGACCAGTACGCTTCTCTAAAGTCTCTAACAATACACCCAGACCAGCCGTGCAGCTCGGCGGCGCCCCCCGGTGGCTGCAGGAGGAGCATCGCGGCGCATTAAATCACAATTTCTTCCACTTTCACTTCACTGGAGCTGAATCAGAGCTGACAGGACAAAACCAGGAACGGCTCGCTTCCTTTTTTTCCTGAAATCGAATCTTAAATCTGGATTTCGTCACTAATTCAAGTAATTCAGACTCAACGGGAGCAAAAACAAACGTGAATCTTTTGTCTGTTTGTCTCTGAGGTGATTTTCAGGCTTTTAAAAGAGTCCTTCTGTTGACTTTCTTACACTTTTGTGGTCACTTTGTGCCTCCTTGTGCCGACTTTGCAGCTCATCCATTGGTTCACGTCTCTCTCTGGTTGTTTTAAATCTCCTCGAGTCAGTTTATGGTCATTTGGGATGTTTTCGGGGTGATTTTAAGCATCTGGACTTGTTTTGTGTTCACTTTGTGGGTCTATTTGTCATCGTTTAACGTCGTTTTAAGTCCCTTTGTAGTTTTTTTTTAGTCTCTATTCATGTGTGGTGATTTTGAGTCTACTGGCGGCAAGTTTGACTCATTAAGAGTCCAGTTCTTTGCTGTTTGGAGTCATTTTGAGTCTCTTTGTAGTGATTTTAAGTCTCCTTAGATGTGTGTTTTTATCTCTTTTAGTTGTTTTCAGTCGTTTTAAAGGTCCTTGAAGCTGTTTTAGATCATTGTTAGTCTCTGTGTAGTTGTTTGAGGCTAATCATGGTCATTTTGGGTCGACTTTTAGCAGCTATGAGCCATTTTTGAGGAATTTTGAATCTCCACGAAGCTGTTTTAAATCATTCTGTCTCTCTGTAGTTGTTTTTAGCAATTTTAAATCTCTTTGAGCCATTTCAGGTGTCGTTGTGGTCGTTTTGTCACTTTTAGAAGTTGGTTTGAGACATTTTGAATCTCCACGAAGCTGTTTTAAATCATTCTGAGTCTCTTTGTGGTTGTCTTGAGCTTGTTTTGAGCCGTTATCATTTTGAGTCTCATTTCAGCTGTTATGAGACTTTTTGTAGCGGTTTTAAGTCTCCTCAAAGCCCCATTTGGACTCTTATTGAAGTTATTTTGAATTTTCTTGAGGCTGTTTTCAGTCATTTGAAGGCAGCTGTTTTTGACTATTTCGATTTTCTATGGAGTTTAGTGTACTTTAAGCTGTTTTTAAGTCTCTTTTTAGAAGCCTTGAGTCATTTTATGTCTCTTTTTAGCTGTTTTAAGTCATTATAAAGGTCCTTGAAGTTGTTTCAAATCATTCTAAGTCTCTCTGTAGTTGTTTGAGGTTAACTGTAGCTGTTTGGGGTCTATTTTAAGCTGCTATGAGCCATTTTTAATCTCTCTATAGCTGTTTTGAGGAATTTTGAATCTCTTTGATGTCGCTTTGAGCCATTTTAGGTGTCATTGTGGTTGTTTTGTCACTTTTAGAAGTTGGTTTGAGACATTTTTAATCTCCATGAAGCTGTTTTAAATCATTGTAAGTCTCTTTGTACTTGTCATGAATCTCTTTGAGCTTGTTGTGAGCCATTATAAACATCTTTGAGGTTGTTTTGTGTCTTTTCGATGTTGGTTTGAGCCATTTTGAGTCTCGTTTCAGCTGTTATGAGTCTTTTTGTAGCTGTTTTAAGTCTCTTTAAAGCCTCATTCGGACTCTTTATGAAGTTATTTTGAAAATTCTTGAGGCTGTTTTGAGTCATTTTCAGTCTCTTTTTAGAAGTCTAGAGTCATTTTATGTCTCTTTTTAGCTGTTTTAAGTTATTATAAAGGTCCTTGAAGCTGTTCTAAATCATTGTAGGTCTCTCTGTATTTGTTCGGGGTCTATTTTAAGCTGCTATGAGCCATTTTTAATCTCTCTATAGCTGTTTTGAGGAATTCTGAATCTCTTTGATGTCGCTTTGAGCCATTTTAGGTGTCTTTGTGGTCGTTTTGTCACTTTTACAAGTTGGTTTGAGAATTTATTTTGAATCTTCATGAAGCTTTTTTAAATCACTCAGTCTTTTTAAGTTGTTTTAAGCCATTATAAGTGCCTTTGTGGTTGTTTTGTATCTGTTAGATGTTGGTTTGAGCCATTTTGAGTCTGTATAGTTGTTTTTAGTTGTTTTAAGCCGTTTTGCATCTCTTTGCTCTGTGTCTCTTAGCGGTGGTTCATTTAACTAACAGAAGCTGTCAGTGGTCGTTTCAAACAGAGGCTCTGGACCCAGAGCCTCCTGATGCTTTGGGAACCTGGTTCAGAGCCTGTTGGGTTCTGGTTTAGGGCCAGTGAAGGGCTGTAAAAACCGCATCCTCCTCGCAGCTCAACGTCCTCTTTTCCCAAAAAATCTGCCGCGCTTGAACTAACGTACAAATGTCGCAATATCATTCCAAACTATACAAAACTTATAAATTATAAAGTTCTATTCTTAAATATAAACAACATCAAGTCAGTTTCCAGTACTTAGATTATATATTAGGTACAGTACATCGTACAACTCCGAGCCGCCCAACACACTGTACACGATCCAAAGGGCTGAAACTGGTGCTTAGACATGATCTTTGAATAAATTAATTCATAAATAAATCATGATTATGTCTTCCCAGTGACAGTGGTTTCCTTGGTTCCCCTCCAGATTGTAACACACACTCGCACACACACACACACGCACACACACACACACACACACACACACTCACACACACTCGACTCTTAAATCTACAACTTCTATACTAAAAATACTTTTGGCTTTAAGAAATAACAACGCTATACTCAGCTAAAAACTAACTCTTCTGGTATAATACAAGAGGTCTACCGTCTAGAGGGAACCTTAACTTCAGTAGTTACGTGTTTAATGTACCTGTAGACGCGTCGCAGGTAGAACAATACAAAGAATTACATCTCTAATCCATAAAGTGACAGTGCTGGATGTCAGTTCCAGGTAGATCCCTTTCTTTTGTTGGTTAAAGAAAAGTAAAGCCCACATCTACTCGGATATGAAAGAAAAAAAAACAAAAAACAAGAACAGACTCTACGTGAATAGTGTTAAATATCTCTGTCAGTGCAAAGCTAGCGCTGTGGCGAGAACAGCATGCTGCATGAGACGTGTCGAAGCGAGTAAAATATCGTCGTCGGATGGTTTCGGCTCCACCGATCCAGTTGTGCATAAGAGAATCCCATATATCAGCTAATATTCTATAATCCTCAAATATATACAGAGAAAGCCTTTTTTTTTTTTTTTTTTTTTTCTTTTTTTTTGCTTAAAAATACCTTAAATCGTGTGCTTATATCCAAACTTGTACAAAGAGTAGCAAACAATCCAGCTGAAAATCGCTGATTCCCGTCTTCCCTTCGCCTCGGTCAGTAGCAGCGTGTTCGCCAACAGCAGCCGTCGGTGTGGATTCAGTTCACTCCAGCCAACCCGTGGGTTCGATTGGCAGCAACCATCTGCTGCTGGGACTTTCTCTTTTTTTGCGCCTCTAGTCCCGAACAAAAAAAAAAAAACTCCCAAAAAGCCTCCAACGTCCCCTTTTCTCTCTCTCTTTCTCGTTCGTATTGCACCAAAGATAAATCATACAGAGCTCTATTTCTCTAAAAAATAAAAGTAGGACTTGGTTCCAAGGCGCCAAGAATCTGGAAGCCAGGTGAGGTTTCCTCCGTCTGAAGAAGAAGAAGAAGAGGAAGAAGAGGAGGAGGATGAGGAGGAGGGAGGTCAGTGGATGTCTCGGCACATGGGCAGGTTGACGAAGATGAAGACGTTGAACTCGATGAGGATGGAGAAGCACAGGAAGATGGCGTAGACGATGAGGCAGGCCAAGCCCAGTCGCCGATCCAGAGTCCATTTGTTTAAATGGACGCCGAGAACCTGCAGAGAGAAGAGACTGAGTTTAGAGATGCAGCAGAGCAAGAAGAAGGTTTTAACTTTCCGTCAGTGTGTTGTGTTATCGCTGGTTTTTGTGCAGATAAAAAGCTAAAAACTAGTTAGTTTGGGTTTGGTTCTCTCTGCAGGTGTCTTAGTTTCAGTTTCTGACCTCATCGATCTCTTCATTGTTCGTTTATGTTTGTCTGCTCTCCATCTGCTATCCTCACCCCGACCAGTCCAGGCAGATCTCTCTGAGCCCGGTTCTGCTGGAAGTTTATTCTGTGTCCCTTCCAGTAAAGGAGAGATTTTTCATGCCTTCCTCAAAGGGAAGTCAAAAGGAACTTTGCATTTGTTGGGTTTCTTTGTTTAAAATTTGTAATAAACTTGCTTCTTTTTGGGCAAAACTTCAAAATTCCACACTGACAGAGAGCTGGTTTGTGTTTTGTCCACTCTGCAGGTGTCTGATGTGAAGTTTCAGGCCTCACTGATCTTTAAAATGTTCATTATTCTCTGATGTAGTTGGTCTGTTCTCCTATCCTGCTATTCTCGCCCCCACCAGTCGAGGCAAACATCCACCTCCATGAGCCTGGTTCTGCTGTTTTTTGGGGGGTTTTTTTGTCTTTCTGGTGAAGAGGAAGTTTTTTGGCGTCCTTCTGAGTGTCGGCAAGAACTCTGCTTGAAGGGAATCCCAAGGAACTTTTGGATTTTTTGGGTTTCTCTGTTTAAAATCTGTAATTAAACTGAACTGTATGGAATTTAAAGAGCCTCCATTCAGCTTATTTGGGGACTGACTCATGACTCCCACATTTTTTGGCTTGAAGACAAAAAAAAGAAGAATAAAGGAACTCATTCATCATCTCAGATTCATCTTCTGAGCAGGTCTCGACCCTCATGTTGGGAACCAGAGCTTGGTGGTGCCATTTTTCATACTTCAACTCGATATAGCTACATCCCTGCAGCTGGTTTCTAAACTGTGACACACGTTTGATGCTTTGGCGGCTGAATCACTGCGACAGTGAGAAATCGTCACTTACTGTGAAGAATACTGAGGCGAGTAAAAGTCCAACAGAGAATATGAGTCCTCTGCTGTTCAGATGGATCTGTGGACAAAGATGCAGAACGGTATCTTTTAGAAAAGTTACACCGTCAGGGTCCTAAATGGCCTTAAAATGAGGTTTGAAAGATGTGTTGTACCATTTATCTGCCCAAAACTGTAAAAACAGGAAGAATCCTAAGATGCAAACTTCAGCGGCAGGAAAGAAAAACTATAATATCAAACATCAAAGTCATGTTATAGTGTAGATAATTAAAGACATTATTTTTATGGAAGGTTACTTGTGGGGTTCCTCAAGGCTCCATGTTGGGTCCATTTGTATTTGTTTGAACCCCAACACCTGCTGGCAGGTTTTAAAGAACGTGTTATCTTTTCAAAATCACCAAAATTACACCATTTATCAGAGCCAGAAACTCCCAAGATGGACAGATTACTTGAGGTTTCCAACTTTCCTTTAGCTAATCTTGAGCAATGGGTTCCGTCAGACATTTTGACTAAATATAAGCTTAAAATGGGGATATTTCACCAAAATCCTAAAAGTTACAGGATAATAAATGATAAATCATAGCAGTTCTGCAAGATTTGAAAAATGATGACAATTTGCGTCAAGAATATGTAAATATTGACGTTTAAATAAGAGTACACCGTCCAGAATTCTTAGATTATTGCCACAACAACACTTACTAAGAATGGAGCTGAAAACNACTCCAGCCAACCCGTGGGTTCGATTGGCAGCAACCATCTGCTGCTGGGACTTTCTCTTTTTTTGCGCCTCTAGTCCCGAACAAAAAAAAAAAAACTCCCAAAAAGCCTCCAACGTCCCCTTTTCTCTCTCTCTTTCTCGTTCGTATTGCACCAAAGATAAATCATACAGAGCTCTATTTCTCTAAAAAATAAAAGTAGGACTTGGTTCCAAGGCGCCAAGAATCTGGAAGCCAGGTGAGGTTTCCTCCGTCTGAAGAAGAAGAAGAAGAAGAGGAAGAAGAGGAGGAGGATGAGGAGGAGGGAGGTCAGTGGATGTCTCGGCACATGGGCAGGTTGACGAAGATGAAGACGTTGAACTCGATGAGGATGGAGAAGCACAGGAAGATGGCGTAGACGATGAGGCAGGCCAAGCCCAGTCGCCGATCCAGAGTCCATTTGTTTAAATGGACGCCGAGAACCTGCAGAGAGAAGAGACTGAGTTTAGAGAGGCAGCAGAGCAAGAAGAAGGTTTTAACTTTCCGTCAGTGTGTTGT